TAGTTTGATGAGATAAGTGTAATTTTTCATACAGTTTGTAACCCTATGTATAAAAAACTTATGTATATAAGAGGCAAAAGAATAAAAGAAAAGGAATGACACTTTCACCTTGTTTCGCAATTTTTATGTGAACGTCTAACACACTTTAAGTAATTAAGTTGACATTGACTGCCACTAATCAATCTCATCGCATGGTACCGAATTAGCAGAACAAAAGAATCTTCTTACAATTTTATTCCAAAGAACACTCACTAACAAATACATTGCAACAAAAAACAAGTTGATACAAGAAGAAAATTACATAACTACCATCTATGGCTTATTACAACATCCACCCCGCCCTATCAAACTCATCCAAAATTGCAATACTAGAAGGCTCCCATTCACTCATAAAAAAATAAGAAGAAGAAAAATTCATCAATCTTGTGGAAGACAACCTAACAGGAGTCAATTCTCTATACTTTTTATTTTATTCTATGAAAATTCATGCATGTTCTATCAAATGTCTAACCATGACCTACCTAACAGTAACAGCAACCTTATTGAGAAAATAAAAACAAAACTTCTCGTGTGAGGCAGCTTAACGGTTAGACGGGCCAAATAAAAAGAATTGGAACTGCACTAAGAGGTCTTTCAGATGCCCATGGCCTCTTGCTCCAGCTTCAAAACTTCCCCTTACTAAAAAAATAACGTGAAATAATAAGATAAAGGATAGTGGCTTGCATACAGAGAGAGGCCAGGCCATATTAATGAGTCTTATTAATCAGATGCCATTTTTGAATCCTTTTGTACCAACTGCACTGTAGAAACAAGCCCACGAGGCGCAAAACACCAACAGCCATGACCTCAACAAACGCCATTAGAAACGATCTCTGAGGAGATAAGCCAGCGGTGGCAAACGAGAGCAGGTAGCCCTCTGAATTGCACGGCACAAAAAAAGAACCCGACTCAATCCCCTTCAGAGACTTCTCTGCAACTTTATCTGCTTTCATTGCTCCAGACGAGGCCGCTATTATGGTCGTCAGCTCCGGCCTTCTTTTCGTCTCTATCGTTAGATAAATATACATTTCTATATTTTAGTTTCATTATTTTTTATTTTTTTTAGAAACAAGGAACTAACTAAGAATTACGATAAAAAGACCTATCATGTTTCCTTTCTACTGAGTATTGCTGTCGAAACGCAATTTTCTATGTATGTGTCAAACATGATTCTAATCTTTCGCTTAGGACAGATAAATGAATTTTGAATCAGAGAGGAAAAGGAAAAGAAAACACGTACTAGCGTGCAAGTTTTTGAAGCTTAGAAATAAACGAATGCATGAAGTACTTAATTAACTGTTAATGCATCAGCAACATATGCTGCAAGCTATGAATTTTCAGGGTAACAACAGAGCATTAGAACAGAGCTTGTCGCTATTGGAAAGCAGCAGTTGAATACCACATTTACATATATTTTGATGACAATAATGATATATAATCATGCAAACAGTGAAATTCATCCCAAATCAATTACTGATATATATATATATATATAAATGGGATTATTAGTGAGGGTGTGGACCTTCAAGATGACCGGGAGTTTCGGTGTCTGGAGGGAAGATGAGGGAGACGTGAATGTCGTCTGCTATAACTTCCTGTTGTAGTGCTTCTGCTAAACCCCTCAGCCCAAACTTGCTGGCTGAATAAGCCGAATAACCATAAATCCCAACCTGCACCATATGAACAAAAACTAATTTAATCAAAACAACCTGTGAATAAGAGGGGAAATTATATTAAGATTAAACAAGACATAAACTAATACGAATGATATCGTCCCTGATTGACCCAAAAACACAAAAGCCTTTGTTTAATGAGTAATTTACAGTGTACTTTAAGCTACAGATCCCCCATTGAACTGGAAATATGCGTAACTTCGCATTAATTCACACAGTTCATGCATTTTGTTACCTGAGTGACATTTCTTCAATCCTCTTCAATAAGAACTTGAACCCACATTTAATAAATTCATGTATTTGAACATTCAAATTGTGAATGATCGCTGAATAGCATTCTATTACCAAATCTTGAAATCAAGAAATAATTGAGCAATGAAGTCAATGACGTAGTTTTACCGACATATAAGGACTAAAAATAGGCACGTAATGAGGTACTGTATGTCTTAAGCTGCCAGACCAGATTGAAAACATATCATGAGAATAGGATTACACCTATCACATTCGATTTGCATTCTTCGATTTGCGTTCTTCGCTAATCAACTGTTGACAAGTTGAGCAATCGATTTAGCAAATGCTTACAAACAAGAACCTACCCACGGTACAATCCCACTTTCCACAACATGTAGCCGCATTTTCCACAAACCAAATCATAATGCAACAGAAAAAAAAAAAAACAAAAAAAACAAAAACAAAAACAAAAACAAATACAACTATGTCGTGTCACTAAACTATCACACACAAAATACCTTAACAATAGCCCATTCAAATTTCAACTTGTGTTAACACCAAACAGATAACTTGTATCATTAAAGGCCGACAATCTTTTACCACAACGAAATAGATTCAAAAGGTAAAGGTCACCCGGTCTTGACTCTCGACCCATAATCGAACAATTGGGTTATTTATTGACGCAAAGGGCGTAAAACTTAAAATTCCCCTCTAAATCACAACTGTTAATGTATCCAGCTGAGAAAATCGATCAAAATCACCGGCCCACAAAACCAATAACTATTAAAATAGGGAATCAAATGAATCGAAGAACAGCAAAATGTGCTGGTTCCAAACGATACCTGACCCGCCTGAGAAGACATGATAGCAATCGAGCCCGGGCCCCTGGCGGCCCGATTTTCCCTCATCCCGGGTAGAGCCGCCTTAATCATGTGAAAAGTGCCCATCAGATTCACCTCCACCATGAACCGAATCTCCTCCACCCCCTGCGCCGCCACCTCCTCCGCCGAGAAAACACCGTGGTTGCACACCAGGACGTCGATCGGGCCGGCCTCCTCCACGGCCTGGGCCACGGCGCCGTAGTCCCTGACGTCGGCGCTAAAGACCCGGACATCGAGGCCCGTGGCGAGCTTGATTGATTGCCGGGCGTCCTCGAGCCGGGAGGAATCTCGGGCGAGGATTGAGACGGCGGCGCCGCGGCGGGCGAAGAGGTGGGCGAGGGCGAGGCCGATGCCGCTGGAGCCGCCGGTGATGAGGACGTGGCGGCCGGCGATTGGGATCCGGACGGGCCGGGGGCGGACGATGAGGTAGAGGAGGGCGAGGAGGGCGAGGAGGACGAGGAGGAAGGCGAGGGAGGAGAAGGAGATGACTATTTCCGCCATTCGAGAAAAGCTTGGGAGTTTGTTGGGGTTTGTTTGGGTGAATTAGTGAACACATGCAGTCTGCAGTTTTTCAGTTTTTCTTTCGCCAGCTTAAAAATATTTAATTATTTGTTAAAAAAAAGGGACCGTTAAACTGAAAAATAGAGAGAAATTGGTGCTATTCGGTGCTCGTCGTTAGGTTATTTTAGTTTTTTTTTTTTATTCATATTTGGTGTTCTTCGGTTATTTTAATTTAGATTTTTTTTGTTTGATTTTGGTTTTTTTCATGTGTTGTGAAGTAATTCTTTATTTTTTTTTCGAAACGGTAGAAATGACACTAAACACAAGAAAAAATAGTTTTACAATCGATACAAATAGGCCTAGAAACACAACCAAGCACAAAGCTTCATATACTTTAAATTCCTAAAAACTTGTAATAGTAATAAAATACAAATAAACCTAAAGCACAAAATAATTAACTTTTTTTTTTTCACTTCATTATACATATTTAGATTAAAGAATAGAGTTTTTCCTAATTTTTAATTATTTCTATCAAGTTTTTCATCTTCTATTTTTTTTTAACTCTTTTTATTCATTTATTTATTTTTCTTTATTGTTGGGAGCCACTTAATAAATAAAACAAATAAAACAAATAGGGAGCCATATTTGGCTCCTCAAATATATAGTCACCCCAAATAACATGTGCTCATTTATTTAAACATTTATAGTGCATTAAGTCTAGTTTCGCTTATGTGGAATATAAATAAACTCAAGTCTTTGATAACATAGATAAAATTATATGAAATTTACAAAGTTCACTCCAATGCAAGGAGACTAGGTCTTTACTTGGGTCTAAAATAGACTTAAGGGTAGACCGAGTCTTTTTACTGCTGCCACATCAGCAGGATCCAGTCCCCTTGCACTTGGAGAATATATATTTTTAGACTGAGTCTATTCCTTAGGCGATATACAAATTTTTTTAAGTGGACCCAAAGTATTGTGGATGTGAGATTATTAAAATCAAATTTTGAGTATTTTGCACCTTAAAAACCTCTTGTTCTAAGGCTTCGTGGCAATATTGAAGGTATGGAGTTACTACTAGCAACGTTCTATGACTGTCACTCAAACTATTAGTTTGAATTATATATGTATTTTATTAATTTTTATTAAATTAAATTATTTTACAATGAACGAGCAAATTTCTATGATTGTGTTTGCTGAGGAATTCTGTTACGACTTATGATGGAAATCCATCGCTATATTTTATAGTATCAAACTAAAGGTGGAATTGAATAAATATTCAAACTCATCTAATCATTTATACATTGTTCATGTATTTCATTTTTCACTATTTCTTTCCACTTATTATTCAATATAGTATTCAAATTAAAAACTAATTATCTATTTGTAAAATTTGATATCCATTCACTCATACTTACAACTATCAAGTATTATTATACTACTTTTCTATCACACCCCTAATTATTACTGTGTATATCATATCAAAATGCCATTAATTCTCCCACTAACTTTGGTTTACCAACCAAAAACTTCTCCACATTGCATCCGTACAAAGTTCCAGCATATATTTGAATTTGATCATCAACTAGTGCTGGGAATGCATACAATTTCAACATAACTACAGAGAATTAAGAAACAGTTAATTTTTTAAAGTCACATTTTGACCCCTTGAGGTTATGCCTTTACCAGCAATGAGGGGTTATTTGTAATTTCCAAGGATACACGGGCCTCTGTTCTAATCAGGTTAAGCCTTGAAGGGTTGCTTTAGTAACAATGTCGAGACTTTTGTACCTAACATTACCTGAATTGCATACTTGATTACTTGTTTCAACTATCTTCATCCCACAAGTTAAACAAAAACAACAAAAAGGTACTTGAAAACACAATAACCTTGAAGTTTCAGCTCAGATATCTTTCACAAAATACACATTTTACTTCACATATGTTCCTATGTGACAAATAGCTCCCAACCGAGCAGTTCATTTAGAAAATAAACACACCCCTTAATTAACTAGTTGCGCGTCTAATCAATCAAGCTAAATCTGCAGGCAAATTTAACAACTTCCCAAAAGTGGTAACATATCACACACCAGAAAAATTTAGCAATACCAAAGAAATCCGAGAAACGAAAAGAAAGAAACAAAACTCAACCATATCAAACATCACAAGCAGCAAAACC